GGAGTAATTATATATGTTATAGAGGTTACTATTCCTTCACCATGAATTAAAGGTAAGATTGTTGCGATTAATTCCATTTTGAGGTAATCTTTTATATTTAGAATATTACTCCAAAACTCTATTGGCTGAAGTTGGTTGGAACTGGGGTACTTATACCCTAGTTGCAAGTCTGTTTTCCCGTTGCCTGTTTTATTAAGGTCATTTTTACTTGTTACGTTGACGTAGTCCAGAAGGGTGAACCACGTGCTCTTGTGTGTACTTGTGTTGTATTTTGATTATCTTTCAAGTTGCAAATTCATTGTCACTAGTTGCTCCTGTAAAACATATATCTAACTATGAAAAAAATTTCATGCATTTTTATATCCTTGTCAACTTATCTACTTGAGAAAAAAAATTCACGAATATGAGGTAATAATATTTTTGAGATAATATTAAGTTCTTTTTTTTTTCCAGAAGACAAAAGATATATTAGTTTTGATATATGCCCTATGGAAATATTCTCCGTTGGCAAACAAGTTGGTTACATTATCAATGGAGATATTTTTTAATGATCTTGTACTACAAAGGACGAATAAAATATCAAACTTAATCGTTTCATAATTTCGTATGGATTCAATGAACATTCATGATTGCAATGCGGTACATTTGTATTCATGATTCAGCATAAAACCTGTGATGTTGGATAGGAAACAATCTATTTTATATTCTGACGTGCTATATATATAAGTGATACTAACACACAACACAACGTTTTAAGTAGAACGGAAAGGTTTCGGCATCGGTCTTTATGGTCAAGAGTGTTCTTATAAATTATAAACCTTAAGCTTTGAACTTTCAGACGAGACTTCTAAATGCAAAAGGACAGTACTTTAATTTTTGGTCTTCGAAGAACATGAGATCTTGTGGAGCATACGGGTCAAAAGCACCAATATTACATCTAAATCTAATGGGACAGAGTTTGATTTAGTCTTAAATGGAGGTACATTTTTAAAAGAGCAAAATTTATCGAAGAAAACTCCGAGCTAGAGATCCTAACTTTGTTCTGGAGATCATCAAGGTTTCTGGCTCTTGTATCAAAATACTTCTATGTTTCTGTATTTCGTGACGCAGATTTCAAACCTTGTGGGCCAGTTTGGTGTCGCGTGAAGTCTTGCAGTCTAATAAAGTTGTACGGCTCCTCTTACTGTACTATCGAGACATAGCCTTTGAAGAGTGTGGGCCAGTTTGACGTCAGGGTGAGGTCGTTAAGTGAGGTCAAGTCGTGCAGATTCTCTTCCACTTGACACCAACAGGTGCTAAGTCATATGGGTATGGCACGTGCTAACACACGGACATAACATATTCATCAAATACAGTAGCCTGGACAAATCTATAATGCAATTAGAATGTCAAGAGAAGATAAACCTTTGACTTAGACGAAACTAAACACCAAAGCGTCGCTGCTGCCTTTTTCTATGGGAACTATTAAGTTCAGCGGTTGTACGGATAACATTGACATTGAGACGATTCAGGAACTAACGAGATCTTATTTCTCAAGAGTCAGAATTCTACATCATCTTCGGATGGAGATTACTCATGGGCGAAGATCAGTCAACTAGCACCTTGACATGTTCATCACATTGAAATTAAATGATTGAACAGAGCATCAGAATGTACTTGCGTTGAGGCCAACAGATCGCAACCGCGCCGGGTAATGAAGTTCTCGGCTGGAAAGCCGAATGTTTCCCTGCAGAGAGCTTAAGTTGTTGCGTCGGTCGATCAGTTTAGGCCCTGGTTGACCTCGCCAGACTTCAGGTTGAATTTCCAATTTTTTTGGTCTTCTCATTGATTGAGTCTTTTCCATTATAATCGATGCCCTACTAAAAGAACATAGCAATGGTAAATCAGTGAAGATTCATTGAAGAAGCCTTATACATCACTATCTATTCACCTTTTCATCATTCACTACTGGACAGGTGGACTTCTTCAATTGATGACGAGATTCCATCATGTGTGTGCGATGTGTACGGTAACGAGAGTCTGTGGTACTTTTTGACTTTCGAGCCCACCCTAAAATATCTACAACGAATAAGGCGAACATTCAGTGCAGACGATGTGGGATTAGTAGGAATTTGTCTACGGTCAATTTCACTGGCGCAGTGTACGAGGAGCCCAGAATCTCAAAGATCTTGAAAAACGGTGTCATTTCTTCATTAAATAATCTCTGTGAAACTTCTCCCGTGATCTCGGGATTCTCAGGGAGTTTGTGAGTTAATACCCCGTTGACATTTTAATCAATGTAATAGTTGACCAGACAATGACTTTACCTTATCTCACCAATACTATTTAATTTTTAATTTTATTTAATAATATTCACCCATCGTACACTATATATATATATATACATAGATATAAATTAATCTAGAAAAGTGAAGAGAAGGTTTTGCATCACACCTTTTCATAGCCATAAGGGTTAATCCAAAGATGAAATCCAATGAACTTTGAATCACCTAGTCTTCATAAGATCTCGCATGTTCATGATAAGCTAGGAGCATGGCGAGAAGCAACTGACGTACACTTCCATAACCAGTTACTAGATATTAGATGAGAAATAACATGATAAACTAGTATTTAAAACTTGCTTTCAAAATGAATGTGTAATGGAAATCACATCTTTAATTTCTAAGGTTCATCAAATATCTCAAGTAGACTTGAAAAATGACAATGTATTAAAACTTCATAAGTTATAACATTCCAGTAATAGCATAACAAGTACAACCCCGAAAGAGTAGACAGAGGAGTAAATAAGGTGGAACAAAAGAGGGAGTCAAAAGAGTGGAGACTACTTAAACCCGAAACCCTAAAAAAATTACCACTAGAAACTGAGTTGGAACTTGTAAGTATGTTGCGAACTACACAGCTCTACCATGAACTCCGTGGTGGACTTTTGCAATGGTCAAGGTTTACCCCGTAATTATCTGGTGATACATTCAGCTTTACTTGTACTCAACCCGTTACCGTACCTATAGCTTAACCTTTAACTTTTAATTCTTCCTTTTATCGAACTACCTAGTATCAGCAAAAGGTTACTTTATCTTGCCGAGGCTTAATTTTGATCCAAATTTTGTCTAGCAAGATACAGAGTAGAGTATCACTGGACTCGGCTGCGTAGTTGTGGCTTAAGAAATATGACGAGAATATTGGGCACCTTTGAAGAACAATACAGAACAAAGAAAGGAGAAAAATTGTCCCTTATGGTCCCGAAATTCATCCTATGCTTTTAAATCAAATTCTTATCCTCATCATTATAGCTCCAGAGCAAAACTTTACCCATCATGATTCTCGTGCTTAGAATGAGTGGGAGAAAACCTCATCTTAGAGGTGAAGGCAGAGAGTAAAGCCCGAAGGGCCCTCTGCTGGGATGAATCTATGAACTTGAAGGCCAGGTCAAGCCGCTCCAACCATGGAGACAATTAAATAAAGCACGCTATGTGAAACCCACGGCAAGATGTACGGAAATTGAGATGAACTTTGGTCTTATAAAATCAAAATATGAAATTTATAACATGTTATCCATGAAATCGGTTCTTCCTCCGGCAAATATAGTACCCAAGGACGTATAGATAAAATGCTTTTACCGGGGAGCTACCATAGGAGTTTTGTAGTTATGGCCACTCCCGATTTGAGCAATTTATGGAAAACCCCCGTATTTTTGTAATTTTGTCAAAGTTGATTTTCCTTTAGGATGTGAATAAGGATGAGTTCGTTTGCATAACAAGACATTTTTTGCCTAAGGTTACGCAAGCTGGGCGTTGGCCCATCTCAGTAACACCAACGTCAGTCACAACTGAAAGAGTCAACATTATATACCAAACTGCTCTAGGTAAACATGCGAGTTTCTCATGACAATAACAAGCGCTGCATCAAGTTCATCAAGAGTGATCAGGACAGAGCAACAAGGGGCACTAAGTAATACAATAAAAGAGGTCGAGGACAACATCAAGCTATATTCATGAGACGAAAAGTGTAGCGTATCTTACAGTGTAATGCTATTGATCTAGGAGCAGCCTCTTCTCCTTTATACGATATTGTCCATATAGTTAACTATTTTACCAGCTCAACGAATATCTAAAATATTTTGTTTGACCAGATCTCCGTCCGTCATAACTGTTAATCTGAGCACATGACAGTTCAGCGGCTTCAGTGACTTCGAGACGAGGCCTCAACGTTTTCTGTGCGTTATTTCAGCGGCTTAAATATTGAAAATATTCTGAACCTATGGGCTCTAATTTATACGAGGATGCATATCTTATCCTTTAACTATCCGTGCTTCAATCGTCTTTTTTTCTTTCCATCCTTATTCTTTAACAATCGAGGACGCTTGTGGATAGTGTATGAAATCGAGTACTCAAGCAAATCCCGGTAAATTAGACCCAGGTAGATTTTCCGGACCGGTGACTATTAGGTAGTGCTGGATTAGCGGAGGATTACCGTGTCTTGCATGAGGAGGCCCTGTTTGAGATATATTCTGGCATGTCGTCCTGCCATCTAATAAGAAAACAGGTCACTTTGCCGATTGAAGCCTTTGGAGGGTTTATGTTTTCTCCGATCTCTTCCACTTGCATCTGATGGGTGACTAAATATCTACAAAACCTGTTGCAATTGCAATGGGCTCAGGCAAAATGCAATTCTCCTCACATCGAGCAAAGAAAAGACATCACCGACGTACAAGAGGACGAGAATCTGGTCTACACCATATTCCCTTCCTACTGTATTAATTTTCTTCCTTCCAGTAGAAGCAGTTTTTGCAGACCTGGCGTGGCTCACTATTGACCATGAGTAATAAGGAATATTATTTTCAACTTTTTCTTCATATATATGCGAAGCAGCTTTCTGTGAGATACCGTGCTCTTAGATCAGTTTGACATTTGGGGCTCTTCGAAATATTTTATGATTTCTGCTATCTGATCCAAGTCTTCACTGAAGATCATACACTACACAACGCTTTGCAGTGGGCCAGGCCAACTTCACTAAGTATTTATGAGAGAAATCCCAGAAGACCCGGTTGTGACTCACGTTCTCAGCTAGTTCTCGAACAGAGGAGAATCGAATGGAAGGAGTGGTGTGATCTGGAAAGGATTTGTAGGACTGAGGATCAAAATGGTTTGAAAATTCTCATCGGAGCTTTAGGTTCCATCGCGAGTCTGGCAGCAGTCGTGTTCATCACTCTCGGATATCAACGTGCAAATCGTTGTCTATAGATGCTTTTTGTTGCAATTGATCCTGAATTGGAGCGTCAGTGTATATAGTTCAGATTTTCTTTTTGATTAGATAGCTCACGTGGTTAGAGCAAGAGCTGCCCGACTCTCCATTTGACTTCAACCTTGGCCCGTAAATTTTGAAACAAGGTTAGAATTTCAGCTCTTCTAGAATGGTATTACACTGATGACTACAGCCCCCACAAGGGGCCTTCTTTGCCTTCCACGCCAACAAATTCTTCTTCGATTTGGTAAATTTCTTCCTTCTCAGAGACCTCCACTCGAGCAATGTATGTTGTGGGAAACTATCTTACTTTGCAATCAACGTCCAATCGTCTCGATCACTGCATGCAGCAAAACAAGAACGCCGTCAAAAGTACAGTGGCAGAATGTTAATGATCTTCTGTAAATGTATGTGCAGAAACGGAGATACGGAGCTATACGGCCCAGCCGAGCTGAGCAGGAATTCATGCTGATACAGACTCGTATGGTTTTAGGTAGTTGACATTCTCCGGATTTACATTCAAATTTTCAGTGACTGAACGAATGAAAGAATGAAGCATAAAGTCTTTGATTTTACTGAGCGCTCGAGTTCATGTGAAAAGATTCTATATGCCTTCCACTGCCAGTGGTCAGCGAGTCTCAGAACGAGTTCTTAAAAGTTAATGAAGACATAGACTTTCCAAACCATAGCTAGAGGAATCCACCATATCCGTCCAACAACTGAATGTTGGTTAATATGTGAAGTTAGTATCATCCATGAATGAGTGATACAAAGTGCAGTGTGCCAAGAAAGCTTTATATTGAGGACTGGTCGATAAAAATAGAGATTTTGGAGTGTGAACTACAACTAACTGATCTGTGTAATATGTGCAGATCCTTCTTTTGAGCGGTAGGTCGAAGCGTTTGTTGAAATACTCGGAGCAAGCGCATTCTTCCGTCGGACCATGAGCCCAACGCTAGAAAAAGATACAACCCCCTTGGCACTCAATATCATGAAAAGCGACAATCCTGCAGTGCAGAGGGATGGGAAACTGGAACCTCCGGGACGAACATTCTCAACCTTCTGCAACGTGTTCGAAGTCCCATCTGGAATTCCTTTACCCTGGCGCTACATCGTAGGGAGCCTGCTAACAGTTATCTATCTGGTAGGCGCGATCCTTCTCTTCAGTTTCTACCTAATACAACACAACAAGAATGGAGTGAGTACGGTAATGGACGACAAGTTCGTGTCGTTGAAGGACTTGAAAGAAGCAGAAAATGATGGCTACATCTGCACTTGTGACTTCCCGCCTGAAATCCGGAGCGTCGTCAAAGAAGACACAAGGAATAAGACCTTCAATCGCTGTTACACTCCAGAAGAAGCGGAGACGGTGAAGGGAGAGTTAAACATTTTACAGTACAATTCTGAGTGGAACGACGTTCTATATAACGATATTATCTCACAATTGACGAACAAAAAGTTCAAAAGCCGACTCTTTAACGACGGTCTGCGACCGAGGTGGAAGTCTTACGAACTAAGGGCTCAGGCAATCAACGATTCTTCAGAAGCGACATTTGGAACACACCTGGCCGATTTGTCCTCAAAACTGGATGAAACGGGCTATGTAGGTTTGTTGCGTTTACCGAGCACTCAGACTCGTCCTTAATCAAGATTCCATCTCGCTTGATCATTCTTACCAGCTGGTATGATGTGGTACTTTATGGCTGATATATCTTCCTTCTGTGTATGTTGCAGGTAAGGTGGGATATGCAGATCTGGAATATCTGAGAGGAGACGACTTCCTTACTGTGCCCCCTGGCTTCATCCAAGCGAGAATCGAATACAATTGCACAAACTGCAGTGCGTGCGAGTCGCTTTGGAAGAAGTACGATTCTGATCAGGCACTAAGTAATTCAAATGATTCCTGGGTTTTCTGCGATGAGTATTCTTCTCATGTCCCTGGTCAAGTTGAAGGGTGCTCCGGCTTCTGTCGGTATTTCCGAACACACGACAGGCCATGGGGTGTGGAACTGAATAAGAAGGCTGATGAACTCAAGACATATGTAGATGATCCGAAAAATCCGACGGTGATCTTCCACCCGCGTCTTCTCTACGCAAATATAAGTGAAGTCGAGCACAACGTGAGCTACAATCTCACTTTCTTGGAGGTGGATCGAGAAGGGACAACCTGGCTATTACTTGTTGCGAACTTTGGCAGAATACCGGAATGTGGTGAGAACAAGACCAAGTTGGTGGTTTGTTCTGGCAGTTCGATTTGCGAGATCGCGCCCACTTACTCCTTTCAGTCTGTCAACTCGGAGGAACTCAATGCGCAGTGCGAGTTCTACGCCACCGGACCTGACTATCAGATTAATCGAACGAAGTGTGAGGAAATTGTGAGCGGAGCTGATTTACGCTTTGTGATCGATTCGAAAACCCCAAGCGAAAGCGTGTCTGACATTCTGTGTCAAGATTATAAGTGCCAAGCGGTCATACCAACACAAGTGGTTTATGACGGAGAATGGTTCACTGGAGAAGCTGCGTTAAACAACCTCGTGTCAGAACCTGCATCCAAATCTCGTGTCGCGGAGTTCTGCACGAATAAATACACTGACGTTCTGGTGGTGTACGAGGACGAGAACGAGGGGAAGGGGTTCGAGGAGCGGATATCGAGGATACATAAATTGAACTGCAGTTCCGGCAATTCCAAGGGCTCCGGCAACTCCAAGCTCTGTTGGCTGACTGTGTGGTACAAGAACATGACCGACACTTATCAAGATCCTTGGAAACAGTACAACTTCAGTGAAGACGAAGATGAATCTGGAAAGACCATGTTTGCCTGCTATAAATTCCGAGAAAAATCATTTAGATCAAGGATGTGGGACTTCTTCGGCATTGTCAGTGGCATCATCGGATCCTGGCTTCTGATCCTCAGCTGCATCTACTGGGGTTTTCTGCGAACTTCTCCAAGGAAGTTGGCGTTCTTGTTTGGGCCTTTGCCGAGCCAATCTGACGACCCAGCACCAGCTCCATCTGTCAGCTCGAACATTTACGAGGGAGAGAAGACCAAATCAACATGGGAATCTAGACTCGACGTCGAAACGAACCGTAGAATGGCGGACTTTCCAAGCGAACGTATTGGTCCATATACTCTGTAAGTCCGATTTCACAAGTGAGAGATAATCACTTCCGTGGGCGTATTTTTAAATTGAGGATTCTTTTCTTGCACGGTAGGCATTTGATTTCCACCTGTGGGTATTTAGTCATAACGAAGCAAAGGTCTCGCACTACCATTCACTTTGTATATAGGTCGTCCCTCTTCTCGTAGTTAGGAATAGCGCTTGATTGGTTATTACAGTACATAGAATGGGCTCATCAAGTCGCTTGGATTTCGCTTGTATCATACTAAGAAGACATGATCTCTTCTTTTTCCTCTTTGTACATAGGTTTGGAGGTCGTCCCTCTCCTCGTAGGTAGAAATAGCGCTTGATTGGTAATTACATTGAATGGGCTCCATCAAGTGCTTGGATTTTGCTTCTATCATACTGAGAAGACATAATCTCTTCTTTTCCTCCACATAATTTTCTCCAGCGAGTTATATATCATACTTTTATTTGTTTCAATATACAAAAAATATGAAGATGAAACCTACTTGCAGATATTTATTTTATAAGTTTGTATCCGGAGCCTTTGAAATAGATGCAGAAACTTTCAAAACGCGCATTATAATTGCTCGATCATTTTAAACAGTTTTTATTAGGTCCGAATAAGAGTCAGGTTTGAGACACAAAACATAACCGTAAAATTTTATAGCTGTTAATAACATATGAAGTTTCTAGCTTCAATTCATTCTACATTTGTGGTAAACGACAACATCACTGAAGGATATATTAAATTGCCAAATATTTTAGAACTCAATTAGGACCAAATAAAAAAAAAACGTTAAATGTAACAACAACCTTCTAGTAACATGAAGGACGCAGAGTACAAATAAGTTGATGAAATAGTTTCAAAAACAAAGATTTCTAATGAACTTGCCACGTGGTCTTATTGGTTTCACAAAACAAACAAAGAAAGACAAGGTTGGAATGAAACGTAGATTAGAGACTCATGGAAACAGAAAGAAATTAAGTCTAATTGACTGTAAGCAATGTCATGATAGAAAAATACAAAAAGAAAGTTCTGATTCATCCTAGAACAACATAAAACATTCTATCATGAAATGTTGCAATGAATTTCATATTAATGTTGATGAATGACATGAGTGCAAAAAAGAAATTGTCAATAAGGCAAATCGAAACAATAAAAACATTATCACTTAATGTATAATTTTCTTTATGTAGATATAATGAATAGATTGAATGAAAATAATTCGTTTAATTCAATATGATATCATATTATGAATGCCATGATGAAACAATATAACCTGGATGTATATTGGAGAAAAAATAATAAAAAAAATTAGTGATTAAATCATCTATGGATATAAGATTAGATATCAAAATAATAATTTACCTTTCATTGTGATGGATAAAACATACCTTCGGAGAGACTTCAAAAGATTTATAAAATATATAGTTGGATCCAAAGAAAAATTTTATATTCCAAATATTTTAAATGATCTTTTTATGAAATATAATATTATCTTGATTTAATTTTAATATTATATTCAAAGATTCATGTAGATAAAAAGAGTGTAATGTAAATCACACTTGCAAAACTTCATATTATTTAGCAAAGCTCAAATGAAAACATTTTGAATAAACAGTTTATTTAAATAAATATTTTACCTCATTGAGTTTTAATATTATTTGTGAAAAAGAAAGATGGGAGCATGCGGTTATGCATTGATAACCCTAAGATGTGGAATTTCCTCACATGGCATTCGCAACACTCGTCGTGCATTCTAGCCGCAGGCTCTAGAAGAGATGAAACCAGCAGCCCAAACCTCCTGTGTCAGATGTTTGGCCTGTCATTATTAAAATTATCATTACAAGAAAAAAAACAAAAAGAAGCAAAAGCCACTTAAGTAAAAGACACTGCAGTTTCACGTTGAGAGATGGTGCAGATTTTGTGAGAAAAAGGGTAAAGATATAACGATACGAAGGACTTCTTAGATATGTGACTGCAGCTAGGTAGATTTGTCCCGCCAAATTTGTCATCTTTGCTGAATTTCCTCAGAAATGGTTGATTGCAACAATTTGTGAAACAATCATAACAGTTTCTCTGTTTTCTTTTGAACTGCTGTCAGGATGTGACAGCGTATCTGATTGAATAGCAGCCTGGTTGTGTGTTGTAAAATTCTATGCGCAAGGGAGTTTATTAACAAAAATTGATCTCGACGTTGCAGTAGAAGAAATCTATATGTTCTTGCATGTGCTAACGCTGAGATCAGTTACGGGAAAGTTTTGCCCAGAACACATGTTGAGACAATTTGCTCGCTGATTCTCGGATTCTTTTGAATCGGCGTGCTGGCAAGGTGGTGCCGATTTGCAGGAAGAACACATTTTGAGACAATTTGCTCCCTGATTCTCAGAGATTCTTTGAAATCGGCGTGCTGGCAAGGTGGTGCAGATTTGCAGAAACAGCAGCAGATTTTGTCTCTGGTGGCAACACTGATGTTGTCGTGAGGTTTGAACTGGTGATTAGTCTGTCATCTAAACCCCACGAACTCAACATGCTTTTGCTGTATTCAGGTTCATTCATTTTGGCTTTGCGTTTTTAACAAAATCATGAGCTCCGCCATGGACTCCCAGACTGTCAAAACTCGAAAATGTGTTGAAGATTGAGAAAGGTTTGTAGTTTCCACTATAGCACTTTGAGTAAATCTCTTCTGCAGTACTGCCCACTTCAATAAATTGCAAAAATTCACCCATCACCGGTTACTGCAGCAGTTCATCAATACTGATTTGATTGTAGACAAGGGCACGGAACTGTGAAAGTGGATAATGGAAAACATACAGTTCTTATGACAGGCTCGGGACTATTGAGCTTTCGTGAATGCCCTTCCCCGTAGACAATCCCGAAAGCCAATTTAGATAAAAGGTGGTACTGTGGGAGTTTATTGGAATGGAGTGCATGTAGGCCCTGGCGACGGCCAACGTAAGGCCGAGGGTCCACTTACGTACCTTTATGGCTAGTAGCGTATGTATGTCATTAATTTCGTGCAGGTAATTGCACGAAATTCACGAACTGATAATTCGGCTGCAGGTAATTGCACCTGCAGCCGAATCTGAGCAGGGAAGAAATGTGAAACCAGATCTCCTGACTCTCACTTGTATTCAAAAAATGTAGCTAAATTGTCATAGTCTATGCGTGCCTCAGTATAATATGATCTGATGCCAAGCTGTATTCCTAATGTACATTTCGCCTTTCGTTTTAGGCAAGGGTGAATCTAAACTACCCAAATCAGACAAAATCATCGGAAATGATCTAGACAGGGAGGAACAAATCCACCTATTCAGTGACTGGGTTTTATGTACTATTTGGTCACAACAGTGATAGTCCATGGAACGAACTGACACCGGTTCATGACAATTCAAAATTGTAGCGATCATCTTCACAAGGTTTAGGAAGTTCTGATTTGAGAACGCCGAGTTCCTCATACTTGTGCATGACTGGAGTTGCACATGAGTCACCACAACACTGAATACTAGTGCATGACGTGAATTCGGCTGCTTGACTGTGGCTCGTTCCTGGATTCTTTTTTGTCGCCGGGCATCTCCTACCTCCATGTGACTCAAGGCGGTAGAGTTATTTGTTCACTGAATACAATCACTGGAATCTCGAGGAAACTGCATGGAAAATTCTTTTCTCGATGTAACAACGAGACAAATTTCGAGATTGAATTCGATGGAACTCAGCAGCGTCATAGCGCTCTAATTGTACCCACATGGTGAATGATTTTTTTCCAAAGACCCGTAAGCTGCATTCCAGAGGAGCAAGCATCAAGACAGCAGTCAGTCAGGGTATGCTTTAGAGTTGCTGGTGCACCAGAGTTTGGCGATTGTGCGTGTTTCAGAGCATTCTGCAGAAACCATTTTCAATTAACCCTCAATATAGTAGTTGTGCTAATCTCTGCAATTCTGATTAATTTTTATTGTTCTCTTACCAGCAAGTTGATAATACTCCCCCGACACTGTAGCCGGACAGGATACTTCATAGTTGCCTGAGAGACCTGAAAAGCTATCGGTTAGACGCTGATGCTCTTGGAGTATTGTGTAGGATTTGCAGAAAATCAAAACAAACTGAGTTATTTAATTTCGAAAACTTCTTTCACATGGCATGCGCGTCCGTTAGACTAATGCATCACCAAACGGCATACACCTATTTCTGAGTTCAACGTTACTCTCTCGTGGGCATCAGATGCAGCGAAGAAGAAGACGGAGGATGATTACATATTGAAATCAGCTCAGGGTTGCTCAAAAAGAAAAGAGGCTTTTAGATGTCCTAGGTGTTAAAAAAGAAGATAACGTGATTCTGATGGACTCTGCAATCGAGGTATTGCCCTGTTCTTTGTACTTGTTAGCTAATATCCCCCGAAGATTATCAAAATTGGCCAGCCCAGCATCTTCACTTTCTTTGTACTTGTTATCTAATTTCCCACACAGATTATCAAAATTGGCCAGACCAACATCTTCACTTTCTTCGGTGAAGTGATCCCAGATCTTTATAATTAACAACTGCCAGTTGGGGTTGAACCAATTTTAACATATGAAATAATTTGTGAAACATTGAAGAAAGTGTATATTAATATTGTGCATTTACTAAGAGATGTAACACTAAGAGTTAATGTTAAGGATAATGTAGTAGTTAGCTGGTGTTTTTAGAGTGAGTGCATAACACTTTTCACACTTGTGTGAGCAAAAGACACTCTTAGCAAACTATGAAATGATAGTTGCAACATACCATGTGAATACAATAATTGCGCAGTACCTCCAACATTTTATTAAAGTTCTACTTCAAGTACACCAATGGACACCTCCAGAAACCCAAAACATTTTGGGCTTTATCAATGATGAGATTACTCAAAAAAAAACGGATAAACATGGAAAAAAAAGTAAGATGATAACTTCGTATTTAACTTAAAATCTAAGCTGCTTACAATCCTTTTAGATAGCATATTTATTTAAAATTTTTGGCAAGGGAGTAAATCATGTATTTCAGCGGCTTAAATATTGAAAATATTCCGTACCGATGGGCTCTAATTTATACGAGGATGCATACCATATCCTTTAACTATCCGTGCTTCAATCGTCTATTTTTCTTTCCATCCTTATTCTTTAACAATCGAGGACGCTTGTGGATATTACATGACATCGAGTACTCAAGCAAATCCCGGTAAATTAGACCCAGGTAGATTTTCCGGACCGGTGACTATCAGGTAGTGCTGGATTAGCGGAGGATTACCGTGTCTTGCATGAGGAGGCCTTGTTTGAGATATATTCTGGCATGTCGTCCTGCCATCGCTTACGGTACATCTAATAGGAAAACAGGTCACTTTGCCTTTTGAAGCTCTTGGAGGGTTTATGTTTTCTCCGATCTCTTCCACTTGCATCTGATGGGTGACTGAATATCTACAAAACCTGT